GAAGCATCTTCTAAAATTATATGGTCACAGAAATTAATTAGTAGCAAAATTAACTCAGAAACAACATTTTACTAATCATATCATTCCAACAACATTTAGAAATCCTATGGAATGCTGGTGTGTACAGATCCGTATGGGGGCGCGTGTTTATTCTAGTCTATATACAGGTCTTCTTTTTTCCTATGGCGCTACAGCCCCAATTTGGGCCTTGTCCTGTCTCTATGAAATTCTCCGTTTCACTTCAGTTTACTAGATCTTAGGCATTCGATAGGGCTCCTTGGGCGGGTGATCAGCCCGTCACAAGGCCTTTACCTGTACACAAACACAGAAAAACGCCCACACAAAAACACAAAATATTCATGCCCTGAGTGGGATTCGAACACACGATCCCGGCTTCCGAGCGAGCGAAGACAGTGCATGGCTTAGACCTCTTGGTTACCGTGACCGGCGCTGCGCTATATATATATATGCCTAGTAATAAGAAAATAAGCTGACCATTGTGCGCCCAGTCTAAGGTATGAAATGTCTTCGGTTGGTCAAACAGTGGGATCATGTGTTCGAATCCCACTGAAGACATGGATATCTGTGTGTGCGTTCATTGTGTGTTTGTGTTGTCCTGTGTATTGGTAGCGGCCTTGCAACGAGAGTCCTACGGAGTCTCTAAAATTAAGAAACTGGAGTGAAACGAAGCGTTTCACGGATGCCCTATGCTCCAAGTGGGAGCAACAGGAATTAAGATCGATGGATGGATGGATATTTGTAATAAATCTGTAAAATATTTAAAATTGTAAACAATAAAAATATTCTGACTCGAGTGACATTCCATGATAACACAAGAGCAGTGTATATTTAGGTAACATAAGTGTAACATCATGAATACAGCATTCATAAAATTTGAAGTCTGCACAATAAGGGCAGACCCTGTAAATTCCTTGCTCTTGAAATGCGAATTGTGCCTGACGTTTGGCAAATGGCCATATAAACATACACATCAATCTGTCAGTTCGGGCATTTCGATTAATAACGAAAACCAACTGAAAGATGATCTTTTTGCCCGTATTATATTCGGAAATTTTGGTAAACATTTATTTAAAAATACAGAAGCTATAACTTCTATTTTGTAGAGTTCGCACAAGGCATGCTATTCGTTCGTTTTATTGTTGGATTGATGTGAATCTGACATCAGAATTTATTGAACTTTTTTAAGAGTTTCTTTTCTCGTCCCGTGTACAACTTTATCTTTCAAAGCCTTCTCTAAATGCATAAATAAGTTCTTGTATGTCACAAAAGGGGCAGATGATATTGTGAAACTTAGCAACAGTTCCGAATTCTGAAGGTAAAATTTAAAATATAGTCAATCCAATTCTGAAATTATTATAAATGGAAATATTCTCACTGTACAAGGTTTGTATGATAAACGGGCAAGCGGTAGCGAAATTGGTTGAGGCACTATGCTATAAGCCAGAAAGTCGCGGGTTCGAGTCGATGATGTGAATTTCTTTCAGTCGACCTAATACTTCCAGCCGCACTATGGCGCTGGGTTCGAGACAGCCTCTAACAGAAAGGAGTACCAGGAATATTCCTTGGGGTAAACGGCGGCCGGAGCATAAGGCTGAAAACCTTACTGCCGTCTGTGAGCTGATTTTCTAGACAAAAATGTGGGAGCCTCGACGTCTCACAACCATATGGGCCTCCACGGCCTGTTAGACGGATAGCTTTACCTTTTTTCACTTTTTTTTTTCAAAATTTGTATTGTACTTAAATCTTTAAACAGCAGGGAAATTGGAAGCGTTTAGGGATGGACTGTTACTTATTTAATGACACTGTATCGACTGAAGCATTAATTTAGCATCGAAGAGGAGGAATCGCGTCCGGTGAAACTGAAAATATCGGCGGGAAAGCGTTTATGACAATTTCAAGGTACCATTCTGGCATTCTCATTTAAGTGTTGAGAAAAACCACGAATACCCTCAGTTAGGATATCTACTCTGATATCCGACAGTCGAAACAGATATCTCTCAGATTCTAAAGTGTTACTGGCGATGGTTTATAACAGTGTTTCTCAAGTGGGCCCTCGTCTTATAAAAAGTAATTTACAGGCCGCGTTCTCACAGTGGTTGAGAGCCACTGGTTTATAACACTCAGGATTACAGGGCGTTTGGACCTTGTTTACGTCCCGGTAATTTAAGAACATTAAAGGAACACAGCGTTTCAGAAACTGAATCTATTTCCATCCTGAGGTGAGAGGCTGGGAGACACTTACTCTGTTGGTTCGGTTAAAGAAGCCCAACCCCAATCACTCGTTAGAAGTTCTTTAGAATTCCGGATGATAGAATCCAAAAATCCACTAATCCCGAATACAAGTAAGAAGGTTTAGTGCTTATGAGAACTCGCCCTTTGGAACCAGTGTTATCCATTTAAGACGTCTTCTTATAAAAATAATGAGTGTGAGGCAAGATGCTCAAACAAAAACAAACTCCGTGCCCTGTAGTCCGGAAGCGAACTATACCGACCGAACGACCGCCGCTTGTCGGCGAAGTTAGTGTCAACTTCCGCGGATAGAGGGTGTGGCGTGGTCAGCGCAACGGGTCCCCACGGCCGTTAATCTCGGTTTTCAAGACCGGATCCGCTACTTTTCCATTCAGGTAGTTCCTTAGCTATCCTCACCAGGCTGAGTGGACCCCGTTCCAGACCCACTACTTCTGAGAAAATCTGGTAGCGCCGGGAATCGAACCCGGGACCTCTGGCCCCGCTTTGTAGGGGGAAACAAACTATTCAATGCGATAATTATGACGACAGTGTTGTAGGCTGTGACGCTGTGTAGTGTGGTCAATATTTACCAACCGGCAGATCGAGGTACTGCGTTTTACCGAAACGTCGGTAAGTTATTTTGTTATTTTTATGACACTGTTAGTCAAAATTCATAGAGTGGAATGGTATACATATATATATGGCAGGAGGGTCTGTGGAAAAACACGAATAACCTCGGACGATATTTACAGGTCTAAAGATGGAAGCAGTACCTTCTTCCGAAACATCGTTAATTCTTTTGGGGTCATTCGAGGATGATCTCAGTAGCTAAATTTTATAGTGTCGAATTGTATGGTGAATTGGAAAGGATCGGGAAGGAAGCGGTGGTGGCCTAAACGTGGTATTATCCCGGGACTTACCCCGAGGGGTAAGAAATCTCAGGTCGGTATCTGAACCCGGATTCGAACCAAGGATCCCCCGAACATAACGTTAATTCTACGACAGCCTTTTCGGTTACATCAGTAGATATTCACCAGACTACACGGCGTCAGGTTGCAGAAAATATCGAAATCAGACGGTGGAACTGGCGAAAATGAATTTAATGAACTAACGTTGCTTTGATTTCTCTTTCGTCGTGCCGCGTTTAATTTGTATTTTTTCTGCCGGAAAAATGAACGCGTACCAAATGAGATAAAAATTCATTTTTCCACGATTTCAGTGCCGTATTTGCTTTAGTACTTTTTTGTCTGTCACCATCCCCGCTTTGTAGGGGGAAACAACTAATTTACCATGGGCCTATAATGTGCAGTCGAACTGATATTTTTATATGGATCATACAGACTCTGCTTAGACAGCAGACTCGTTAAATATGAAGCAGTGCTGCATAAACAAAGAGTTATCCTGAGCAATTTAAATTAGTTCTATATTAAAGTCGAATTAGCATTATGGTTTGAAGCTTTCACGGCGGTTCTATGCAACGAAATGTTTTCGGCACATCAGTCTGTCAATATGAAATTACTATCCGACGTTTCAGAGACTATCTCCGTTTTTTATCACCAGAAACTTCTGCTGATATAATCTATGTTTGGTCGTTTTCATAAAACCACACATATATATATATATATGGTGGTCCGAAATTCAGTTAATTGATTAGAAAAATGTAAGCTAAAATAAACTCATGGCCTGTAGTCCGCAGGAGAACTATACCGACCGAGCGATCGCCGCTTGTCGGCAAAGTAGCTCCGAAAATCGAATCCGGGACCTCTGGATCTCTAGCCAGAAACTCTGATCACTAGGCCACATAGGCGGTCGTATCCCAAACAACATACTAACTAACTAACTAACTAACTAATTCCATGAAACTGAGCCCTTCTTAGGATGCCACCACTTGGTCAGCTACGAAAGAATTTCAAATATTTTATGGAACCCGAGGATTCGTTACTGCGTTCACAGGAATCCTTCACTGGTCCCTACCCCGAACAAGATCATACCACCCCATCCAGTTTCTGTAAGATCCGTTTAATATTACCCTCTAACCCATGTCTAGGTCTTCCTATTGGCTCTCTACTTGTGGATTTTCTACCAAAATCGGCTTCTCACCATGCATTCTACATACCCCGCCAATCTCTTTCTGTTTTACTTCATCATTGTAGGTTATGAAGCTCCTCATTATGCAGTTTTCTACAACCTCCTGTCACTTCATCCCTCTTTGGTTCAAATATTCTCCTCAGCATACTGTGTTCTTACCTTACCGTCAAAGACCAATTTTCACACCCATAAAAACTTACAAACCAATATATTTCAGACAATTTAGAGTCTGACCTACTTCAAGTCTGTTCATTTATCGAGCGCGTAGGAAATTAAATACAGTAGTGGTTTTCGGGGGCACGTGGTAGCGTAGTTGGTTGAGGCACTATGCTACAAGCCGGAAGGTCGCGGGTTCGAGTTCCGATCAGGTGAATTTTTTCTATTGATCTAATCCTTCCAGCCGTACTATGGCCCTGGGGCGACTCAACCTCTAACAGAAATGAGTAGCAGGAATCTTCCTGGAGGTAAAGGTCGGTCGGCGCGTAGGGCTGACAACCTCACCGCCATCTGTGAGCCGACTGTCAAGAGAAAACGTGGGAAAGTGGACGTCTCACAACCCTATGGGCCTCCATGGCCTCTTAGAGGGATAGCTTTACCCTATTTTTTTACGACGTGGTTTTCTCTGTGCTGTGGATTGTCACTCACTGACTCCCTTGTTGCAGTGACAAAGCTGTCTCCAGCAAGACAACCCGTGGCGCCTGATCCCGCCTCGACGCCTACCGACGACAAAACTACTCAACCTAACAAGACGGAAGAAACCAGCGTCAGCAAACTGTGAGTGTAACTTTCAATATGCGCATATAATTAACTTTTATAACTTCGTCACAGCTCATATAACACTCGTATGGTGACTAGGCTGGACGCTATTAAACCAGTTCCCGGAAGGGACTACACTCTTCGCTGCCATGTCCACAAGGGCACAGGGACCCATCCAGCTTCCTAGCAGATTTATGCAGGGATATATATATATATATTGTAACTGTCCAGTTTATGGGAAGGTCACTTGATGTTTGTGTATGGTTAGGGTTTTGTGAAATTCCTCACTTTCACCTCACAATTTGAAATTTTCCCCCTCAGACAAGCAGCAAGTGGCTCGGGTCAAGCTTGAAGCCAGCTGCCCATTCGTAAATCAGTCAATTTAATGCGTAAAACAAGGCCGAGTTCTTTAGAAATTCTAAACTTGACAGGGGAAGTCATAAATTTAGCAGCGTCGTTTCCTGCTACCCCAAAATCTCAGTTTGGCAGTCACGCAGCAGGTGGCAAAGTTCACCCCTAAACTGTACAATAGTGGATATTCGCTTTTCTAATTGGAGGAGAATGATAAGCAACCTCCCAGTCTGCCCGGTCAAGCCAATCATCGTCTGAAGTGGGAGGTCCTTTGCCCGAATTTTGGGTAACCAGGGCAAATATTTACCATTCAGAGGGTGCTTGGCAAGGAGGACTCTGAAAGTTACATTCACTCGTGTTCTGATCCCCGTAAACACCCCCGGTGGTGACTATTAAGTGTGCGTCTCAGTGAACAGTAAATAAGCCTACATCCACGAATCTGTGAAGTGTACCACTACGGTGCCGTTTCCGTACAAATAGTGCAGATTTAATAAAGACTCCATACAGTTAATTGGTGTTGAGGTGACTTCCCTACGCCCAAAGCCCCACTAATCACACAAGTCGTGGCCAGTCAACACGCCGTGAGAGGAGTCGAATTGCTCTACCGGGGCTAGCAGAACCGAAGGACGGACAATATATATAATAGGTATATGGAGTATAGCATCTGATGACAGTACACCCTGCGTCGAGCTATAATTCCACTCCTTATATACGAGAAGATACATACATGTAGACAGGCGGACTTACAATAACTAGTTTTAGGACCGGAGACATTCCTGAGAAGCTGATGGTTGCTCAAGGATATGTTTCAACCTTATATATAACTAACTTCAGGAGCGGAGACATTCTTGATAAGCTGATAGTTGCTCAGGGATATGTTTCACCCTTATATATAACTAACTTCAGGAGCGAAGACATTCTTGAGAAGCTGATAGTTGCTCAGGGATATGTTTCACACCTATATATAACTACTTTCAGGAGAGGAGACATTCTTCAGAAGCTGATAGTTGCTCAGGGATATGTTTCACCCTTATATACAACTAATTTCAGGAGCGGAGGAAGTTTTGAGAAATTGATAGTTGTTCACGGACATATTTTAATCTCGTATACAACTAACCGTATATATAACTAATTTCTTGAGAAGCTGACAGTTGCTCTGGGCCATATTTTAACCTTATGTGTAACTAAGTTCAGGAGCGGAGAGCTATACTTGAGAAGCCAATAGCCCTCCTTCTTTCGAACAAATATTGTTGTGTTCATGTGAATATAAGCTTATTTTAATTATTATTTTTTTAAAAAGTAGTATACAGCTATTGGAAAGTATAGTAAGTGGAGAATGGCTACGCATATGTACCGAATGTTATCCACTTTTTCTGCGAAATATTCCTTAGATTAAAAGCGCGAATGGCAAATTGAAATTATGATGATGATGATCCTAATTCTAACATTGATCTCGTTTGCGTTATTTGCAGAGGGAAACTTCATGACCTACCCGAATTGTACATTCCCTTTAACGTAACAAGTTTCAGCCCCACCCTTTGCATCATCCCCTTCTTCGTTTTATTTCTTACCTCTCATTGCTATGTATACGGTCACACCCATTGTGCAATGAAATGTGAGGTAACGTCACCAATAAGGTTCACTTCGCTATGTTACAACTCTACCACTTGAACTTTATGTAGATCTTGTTGACTTACTGACGATCCATGGACCATTCATCACATGACGTAGGTGCCAGCATATGAAGCGTGTCCTTCGGCTCTGGTCAACATTCAGCTCATCAAATCAAGGAGGATAAGTCGAGCGGGGCATATAGAACGCATGGGAGATAAACGAAGAAAAATGTACTATTTGTTCCTGCCAGTTAGCCGTCTCACATACAGCTTGCTTTTTAAAACCTCTTCAGCTTAAAGCCCAGAGATAGATTTGCCTTACTATAAATACTGTGTACACAGTAAGGGGAATTCCAAAATTATTTCCAGGGCCTACTGTAAAATTCAAGTTTATGGATGAAATTTCTCTCCAGACACTGCAAGACACTCGTGATCACATCCCTGATGGAGGCATAAAAATGGTTAGAACTGTAAATGTCATGACACGACTTTTACTCTTCGTTATTCAGTACAGTAAACAACAATACGTAACGTAATACGTAGTAATTGAAGCCTTCACAGCGGTGATTACGAAGAGTTTTATATTTTGTGGGGTATAAAGCTATGTAGTTCTTGAAAACCAAACAAAGTTTCGGAGAAACATGATGTTTCTATCTTCATAATCAAATAAACCAATCAAGAAACCATCACACCTGCTTGTTTGGCTTATTCTTTGATCCTTAAGATGGAAGAGACATATTCCTTCGAATCGTCAGTTGACTTGCAACGGTCTACACGCCGATATATCCCAAAACTTAGGACTTGATATATAATAGTTTGAAGTCTCTTGGGAAATTAAAAAGAAATTCTGTATCATTACTTGCAGACATGCATTTAGATCACTTTTACACGGGATAAGAACGGACTTAGTAATGAAACATTCATGAAAGTAGTTATAGGATCGGAAATGATCCGGAAACTGTACTGTGATTTGGATCTGAACATATCTCTTATGGAGTTCAGCGTTTAACCAGTCCGCTATGAAAAAAAAAGGCTATAAACAACACTAAAATTCGGCTTAACAATTAACTGACCCATTAGTTCGTACATGGACTTTGTTTCCTGCACCCAACCAATTCTCATTTCTACAACCGGCGTGTACATTTGTGGAAACTGTAATTGCGCACTCTCATATACGTTCAGTATTGATTATATTACTCACACACCATTTCCATTTAAGCACACTTCTTTGCAATATTGTGTGAACATGAGGAGGGTGATTTGAGGTTTTCACGGCGGTGACTATGAAGAAAGCAGTCTTCTAGGATGTGGCACCGTGTAGATGTGGTGTTAACCGACGTTTCGGAGGAACGTATCGCCTCCATCTTCAGGGTAGAAGGAAAAATAAGAAATCCGCAAGCGAAGAGACCGTGAGTCTGCTTGTACCGGTTTTCACGGTCTCTTCGCTTGCGGATTTCTTATTTTTCCTTCTACCCTGAAGATAGAGGCGATACGTTCCTCCGAAACGTCGGTTAACACGACATCTACACGGTGCCACATCCCACAAGACTGCTTTCTTCATGAGGAGGGTGATCTGAATTGTTTGTATCACTTTAAATTTCAGTTCTATTTAATCACAGTTACAATATTAATAATAATATTTTCTTCGTTTATTTTTCTCTGCCCCTTTCTGATTCGTTGTTACTTTGTTCTTGTCCTTCTATGTTTATTTTCTGCATATTTATTTCTATTTTCGTCTCTTTAATTTAGGTTCCACTATAATACATTTAAGAAGGCACAAACATTTGAAGATAAACGTTAAACATATTCTAGTGAATTTCATATTGGCTTCACCGCAAGTTTTACGGTCACTGAACATCAAAGTGTAATTACATACCGATATATGTAGTATAAATCTTGATATAATTTTCAAATAACAACGACTCAAAATAATAATATAAAAATAGCTAATATATCCTCCAAAAATGTGGGACATTTTCAGATATTTGGGAACGACAGTAACAAATCAAAATTTGATTCAGGAGGAAATAAAAAGGAGATTGAATTCGGGTGATGCTTGTTACCATTCAGGCCAGAATCTTTTGTCTTCACGTCTGCTGCCTAAAAACGTAGAAGTTATAATACATAAAACTATAATTTTGCCTGAGGTTTTATATGGGAGTGAAACTTGTTCTTTGACATTAAGGAAGGAACATAGACTGAGGAATGTTTTAGAACAGTGGTTGGTTTTTTAAATTCACCTAATCCTTCCAGCCGCACTATGGTCCTGGGGTAGACTTAGCCTCTAACAGAAACGAGTACCAGGAATCTTCCTGGGGAGTAAAGCGCGGCCGACGCGTAAGGCCGACAACCTCACCGCCATCTGTGAGCCGACTGTCTAGAAAATGTCGGAGCGTCAACATCTCACAACCCCATGGACCTTCACGGCCTGTTACAGGGATAACTTTACGTATTTTTTTTTTGTTACTGAAAGAGTCGTAAATTAAGCCACAAAGGGCCACACTCACATATTGTAACTATAAATACGGAAGAGAGTTGTGTCCAGTTTCATGCTGCATTCTAGCGCTTGTGGATGGACATAAATAAAGTCTCCCGCCTAGGGGATATGAAAGTGTTGGATCTGTGGAAGGGACGCTATAAATTTCAGTCAGGCTTGGCTTCTCCTTCCGTGTAGGGTTTTGTCCCATTGGATCCCATGACCCTACAGTCCACCTTTACATTATCTAGCTCTGCACTTTGCTTTTGCTGTAATTGCTAATATTTAAATTTATTACTCCCTCAGTTATCGAAACGGTTATCTGAGCCACGGGCGAAAGAATGAATATACCCAAAACGAGATAGTCGCCCACACAAGGAATCTCAGTTATACAGCGAATATTAAAAAAAAAAAAAAAAACCTCTGGCCCCAGTCGATTCATAGTTCAGTGTTTTCAAGAGGGATGGATGATGACCCTTTGATCATATATATTGTATGCACATTAATTCGCTATTTAATGAAAGGAAAGTTCTTGAAAATCGTTTGTTATGCTAATATTCACTAAATGGTACCTGACT